TGACTTGTCAGTTTGAGCACTCTGGCAAGGTACGTTCGGGCCTGATTGGAAATTTTTATTTCCATTGCTATCAGGTTCGGCCTTATTTTCTCTGTGCTGCGCTGATGAGTTCTAAAAGAACGAAACAGCATGCTGTCCGCAGATTGAGTATTTCGCTCCTGCTCTTGTAGCAGTTGAGCACTCTTGCGTGGGGTAGTGCCTTTGCTGTTGGCGTTATGCAGAGCTCACTGACTTGTCAGTTTGAGCACTCTGGCAAGGTACGTTCGGGCCTGATTGGAAATTTTTATTTCCATTGCTATCAGGTTCGGCCTTATTTCCTCTGTCCTGCGCTGATGAGTTCTAAAAGAACAAAACAGCATGCTGTCCGCAGATTGAGTATATATATCGCAGATTGAGTATATATATATATATATATATATTTAAATAGAGAGGTAGGCGAACAAAATTTATATACACACAACAACAAGGTTGCAATACCAGAACAAACACGTGCATTCCCCTCATGTGTTGTTTCCCGCATTTTTCCACTGCTCCATACATTCTTATGGTAGTGTAGTGTGAACTTGAGGCGCGTAAGAATATTCTTGCTGATTCTCTACCCCCAGTATAAATTCTGGCTTCGTTTTCGTTCTTGCTCATTCCCATGTAACCACTGATGAAAATGGGTGAAAAGCTTTTGGTGTTATGAAACTGACAACCTTGTTGTTGTGTGTATATATATATATATATATATATATATATATAGAGAGAGAGAGAGAGAGAGAGAGAGAGAGAGAGAGAGAGAGAGAGAGAGAGAGAAAGAGAGCGCGAGGGACGGAGAGAGGGAGATAGAGACAAAGACAGAGACAGAGAGGCAGAGATAGAGACAGAGAGAGACACAGAGACACACAGAGAGAAAGACAGAGGGGGAGATAGAGCGGGATAGAGATAGAGTAAGAGAGAGGCGAGAGTGCGTTACATTCATAAAGACAAGGAAGTCTAACAATTGAGAGCGAGATAGAGAGAGAAAGTAAAGTAGATTAGTAAAGAGAGAAGCAGACAGGAAGAGAGTTAGAAAGAGACAGAGGGACAGACAGGGACAAACAGATACAGACAGAGACAGACAAAAACAGGCCGAGGCAGAGGGAGAGACAGAGACAGTTACTGAGGCACAGAGAGACGGAGACAGGTACAGAAACAGAAACAGAGATAGAGACAATGAGAGAGAGAAAGAAAGGGAGAGGGAGTGAGAGAGCGAGGCAGAGAGGCAGGGAAAGACGCAGAGAGATAGAGAAAGACACAGAGAGACACACAGAGACAGAAAGAGAGAGAGAGACATACAGACAGACAGACAGACAGACAGACAGACAGACAGACAGACAGACAGACAGACAGACAGACAGACAGACAGACAGACAGACAGACAGACAGACAGACAGACAGACAGACAGACAGACAGACACAGACAGACAGAGACAGACAGACAGACAGAGACAGACAGAGAGAGACAGACAGAGAGAGACAGAAACAGAGACAGAGACAAAGAGAGAGACAGAGAAAGAGAGAAAGAGAAGGTGAGAGAGAGAGAGGGAAAAAGGAGAAAGATAAGGGGAGAGGGGTGGCAAGAAAATTATTTCAAAATAGAGCATAATGGGAGCTGCGGTTCTAGAGGGAGTTCGTTGTTCAGGCCCATAGGCTGTGGCAAAGGTGTTTGTGGACTTACCCTTGAAGCTTTTGAGCAGCTATGTGCTATGCACGTGCGAAGAGACGTCATTGTTGCAACTGGTTCCATTCCTCGATCGTTGTATAGGGGAAGGTGGGGCAAAGGATGTTGGGTGAGCTAGCTATGAGCAGGTTGCCCTGTTGGGGTTGATGGCAGGGTGTTTCCATCAGCAAAAAATCCCATCTCGCTGGCCGCAGAGGGGCAAACCTCAGAATTGTTCACATAATTATGCAAGGTATAAGGTGGGCTCAATAATTTTACCTTATCCAGGAACCTGCCTGGAAGTGAAGCTATGGCAAGACAATCTGTCTACCGATTTATCACATTGTCACTAAAGACTAGATAACTCTTTTCCATACACTTCCGCTGGAAAATCCAATTTAAAGTTATAATCGCTAGGTTACTCGATCTACTCAATGATTACTAGATTATAAATATTTTTGAAAGGATTGGGACAATTCAAATTCCAAGGATCAATCGGGGAAGTGAACTGCCTGAAAAAGAGAGAAATCGCTAGAATCACCAGGGCATAAGCATTGCTCATGACAACAAGGTAATGGATCCTGGTTGTTCTGGCGTTTTTTCACTTCACTTCCTCGACTGATCCTTTGAATTACTATTATAATAATGGATTCACAGGAAGTGTGAGTTACGAAGTCTGAAGAAAATGTTGAATGGTCTCTGCTGGGATGACAACTACACCATAGCTTAGTGGTTAGAGCATCCCTGGCTACAAGCGAGGGTCTCTGGTTCGAGTCCTGGTGGTGAAAGTCAATTTTTTCAGACTTTTCCGGTTTGTGTCTTTCCTTCAAACCTGTTAATGTCTTATGACCTGGGGCTCCCCGCGTGCTAGTTTGTACATGAATTGTGTGGGTAAAGTGAGGGCTGCGTCTCACCCGCCTGTGTGGATTCGCAGGAAGTGTGAGTTACGAAGTCTGAAAAAATTGCTGAACGGTCTCTGCTGGGATCACGACTACACCATAGCTCAGTGGTTAGAGCATCGCTGGCTACAAGCCAGTGCCCCTGGTTCTGGTCCTGGTGGTGACGGTCAATTTTTTCTTCCGACTTTTCCCGTTTGTGTCTTTCCCTCAACCATATGAATATCTTATGACTTGGGGCTCACCGCGTGTTAGTTTGTACATGAAATGTGTGGGGTTGAGGGCTGCGTCCCACCCGCCTGTGAGAATTCACAGGAAGTGTGAGTTACAAAGTCTGAAGAAAATGTTGAACAGTCTCTGCTGGGATGACGATTACACCATAGCTCAGTGGTTAGAGCATCGCTAGCTACAAGCGTGGGTCCCTAGTTCGAGTCCTGGTGGTGACAGTCAATTATATCTTCAGACTTTTTCCGTTTGTGTCTTTCCCTCAAACCTGTGATTGTTATTAATTTTATTTTGTTATTCATATCTTAATAGGGCATTCCTCACAGACTTGAGGTCGTCTTACGGGGTACCCTAAGAATGAAAGTAATGTATGGCGAAATAGGGTTAGCAATCCAGCAGTGCGGATACCAGATGGAGCGCTATTCCAACTGTCTACAGCCAAATATGCAAGAGAAAACAGACCGTAGCGTGAATAAACTCGGGGTAGATCAAGACCATTGGAGGAGTGAAGACGGTTCCGACATTGCAAAGTGTTAGCTGATGTATCAAGCTTTGGCGGTTTTCCTCAATCAATCATATACATCTGTACTTGGTATCTGTGTGCTTATTCATCGTATAGTAAAACTCGGACGGTGTAAGCGACCTTTAGTTCTAGTACTAGTACTTGTATATTACTTTCCCTGCCAGTTCTATCATCCATTACAACACTCCGGACGTCTGGATAATGCAGAGCACTCAAATCTTATAGGATATGTCAAAAAATGACATGTTATGCCTAAAACACCTTGGTCTATGAGTGACTTAACACGACTGATCACACAGCTTGGGCCTGTGTTCCCAAAATAAGATAAAAATCGGCAACACAAATTGAATGCAGACAAGAATCCGTAGCAACAGTGGCACAGGAGGGGGGGAGCGAGAAATGGCAACTAATCTCGCGAAATGGGGGCTTCCGACACGGCCAGAGTGTTCGCAAACAGACGAACATAGCACCAGCTACAGGAGCAGGAAACACATTTTTGGATAGTAGTTGGCCTCAGCCAGACCTGACACTGGTGGGACTGAAGAAGTCCCCACGAACCTGTTCTGCAGTACATGTAACAAGGCAGTACGATTCTGTTATATATCCGTTCACCCCAACTATTACGTGTTCCGCCTAGACCGTGATTCTGCTCCTAAATTACAATTGAACAGATGCTCACAACTGTTCTACCATAATCTCATCGTCTGTCGAACAAACTTGCATTTCGATCGAAGCCAGGCCAGTTTTAGTACAGGCGATCACTTAGCGTACATGCTTTCCAGAAAATGAAGCTAAAGTATATTTCTCGTCTTCGGGTGGCACCACCGTGAAAGCAATTGTTGCCAAGTGGAGTTTGTACCGTTGGCTTAGACGAATGGTAAAGAAACTAATAAGCAGTCCCTGGGGAAAGCCCTCCTATACAGGCACGATATTGGAGCCACAACGTGATCAGTCTCTGCTCAGATTATTGTCCTTATAATAGCATTTTGCTTTGTATTCGACGTAACTAACGTGAGGGGGTATGGCACAGGCCAGAATGCGACTGCATCGTCAGTCAACACATCCTGCACACTGTCTACTGGCTCTGCTGTTAATCGGAGGTGAGATTCTTCTTTATCAAGTTATTTATTCATTTATTCAACAAGGAACGGTAATGGTAGTATGGGAAGCAATCTTATGGATGAGGGCCAGTGGTAAAAGTGACAAAAAAGAGAAATGGAACGAATGGAACAATTTGGCAAGCTTATCAATGCATCCAGCTAGAAGCTCAGCATCTTAGCCATTTCTGGGCATAGCTGTCTTTTCATTTCCTTTCTCGCCATTTTGAGCAAGGAGGTGTAAGAGATGGCAGACCATGCTTGATTTTAGTCACTCTACCCTAGCGTTTTCACAACTTTATGTATATTGCACCAGGCAGAGGCCATCCTGGCGAACCTGATCATGCTCAATGTGTAGTTGTGCTTGTAGCATCATTGACTTCCCTACCTGCGAACATAGATAAAATGTACAAGAAGTTTCTTGCCGACCTCTACAAGCATTCATGCCCATAACGAGGCATACTGAAGGAATATATTGTATAACAGTCAATGAATCATCTTTCCCCGTTTGCATCTTTCCCTAAAACCAGTGGAGTACTTTATGTGTGTTCTTTGCCATTGTGCAGGTTTGTGTGCTGTTTCAGGCAAAAACACATGCACTCCTGAATCTGGACAATTTTGGGCGGAAGAGCGAAGCAGGTCAAAACCAATCGCATTTCCACCACCGCCTAAGACCACGGAGGTTAAAGTCACGGATCTTGTGTGGACGTTCAACTTCAGCCACGAATGCACGCTCTTCTTAGAGAATATAGAGTTTTCCTTCACTGGTGCTTGCACATTCCAACTTCAAAATCCAGAATACGGCTGGGTGGGACTGAATACCACATCCGTGCAAATTTCAGGGTCGTGGAAATCAACTACCATCGATGTGAATGAACGCACCGCCACTGTGATGGGTCAACCGAAGGACACAAATGATGGCAGTCGATACTTTACAGTCACTGCCAAAGGGATTGAGAATATTGCATGTGACGTTGAACGGCTCGTGTTGCGCACTACTGGTAAGCCGCCATGGATTAGCGAAAATCGTTCCGTGAACAGTATCATTTACCACCAAGGGTAGGAAATGAACATGAAATACCTATAGTTCCCTGTACTTCCCTGCTGCTTTGCTTGTCTACACAAGCAAAGCAACAGGGAACTACATTTACGCTAGAATGTTCCCTAACGCCACTAGTGACAATGCTCAACAGTTTTTGTTGCTGTTGTTGTTGTCGTTGTGGTTGTGGTTGTCGTTGTGGTTTTCATCGTTGTTTTTGTTGTTGTTGTTGTTGTCGTTGTCGTAATCGTTGTCGTTGTCGTCGTCGTCGTCGTCGTCGTCGTCGTCGTCGTTGTCGTTGTTGTTGTTGTTGTTGTTGTTGTTGTTGTTGTTGTTGTTGTTGTTGTTGTTGTTGTTGTTGTTGTTGTTGTTGTTGTTGTTGTTGTTGTTGTTGTTGTTGTTGTTGTTGTTGTTGTTGTTGTTGTTGTTGTTGTTGTTGTTGTTGTTGTTGTTGTTGTTGTTGTTGTTGTTGTTGTTGTTGTTGTTGTTGTTGTTGTTGTTGTTGTTGTTGTTGTTGTTGTTGTTGTTGTTGTTGTTGTTGTTGTTGTTGTTGTTGTTGTTGTTGTTGTTGTTGTTGTTGTTGTTGTTGTTGTTGTTGTTGTTGTTGTTGTTGGGGAAGGTGAGCGCAACCAAGACAAGCACGAGCTGAAAGTCTCAGCTGAGAAGGACGTTGGCGGACGTATATGCATGTCGATGACGATACTGGAAAGACCATTGGACTGTGATATCACTGGTGCTGTTATCGTATGTCCATACCAAAACATAGTGCATACTTACCCAACGGTGATACACCTTGCCTACGTTTAGCCCTCTGCCGTTCGTCTGCTCTTTTATCCCTCCTTACTGAGTACTGACACATTTGATTACGACAGATAATTATTATGTAATATCCCCCGCCCCCCCCCTTACCATTCGCTATCATATTATTGGGCACCCATCCCGTTTCAATTTGCTAAGTAAAATATAGACTACAAATAACTTACTGTCAAACTACGACTCGATATGTACTAGAGCTGATAGCCAGTTGGTGTAGAACGTCAGTACCGTCGGTCAGTGTCGTGCAATATCATCGCATCGTGGTTGGCTAACGCCCTCTCTCTCTTTGGATTGGCCGGTGTTCTCACTGTGCTATGAGATGCTGTAATAAATATATAAAAAATTAGCTGATTGTTTAAGTAACTGGTGGTGTTAGTGGACATTATAGTGTAAGAAAGAGTTCCTTGGTGCTTTGCTTTTCTATAAATTTATCCTTGGCTCTCCAACCGAGTTGAAATTGGAAAAGTTTTTTTCCTTGAATTGAAGAGTCCATTGCTGGGTTACTTATGGTTTACTCATCATGTTGGTAAGTTAACTTACAGGCAACATGCAAAATAGCAAATACACGAAAAGAAAGGGTATTGCGATAATGGTATGTACAATAAGGATAATATTCGACCTAAGCCTGGCAAGCGAATGACTTTTAAGAGAAGCGAAATTACAAAAGCGTAGAATGGCAGGTATTCATATAAATGGCGGACGCCCACGCTGCATACATTGTATGGGCGTACGTGAGCCACGCTGTGGGGATACTTGTTCGATTCCGCATACAAATGGATACAAATGCGTGGAAAAGAAGTTTCTCTAATCGCTGGAACTTGTGAGTTTCTTTCGATATAGATTACTGGTCTTCAAGTTATACAATAGTAGTGACCCAACGAAGTGGAATTCGCGGAATACAACGTTCGAGACGGCTCAACAAGTCAAGAGCGAAGTGCGAATTTACTATGTACGCAAATGAGAAAACCTACTTGTTTCCCCGCAGCGCTAGTCACGTGCGCCTTCAGTGAATATGTGCCATTGTCCCCATGGCGTGCTAGAGCTGATAGCCAGCTACTTTTAAACCATCCGTACTGTCCGTATGATTCGTGCAATGCTATTGCATGAGCTGATTGTCATGTAACAGGTAATTTTCGTGGACATTATGGCGTCACTTGTACTTCCTTGGTCCTTTTCTCTACTATAAGTAGAAATGTGTCAATGTTTACCGTCTTCCCAATTCAATAAAACCAATACAAGTACAATATAAATGTGTGTTTGTCGGACCCTTTACGAAGCGGATTCCTGTGTTAACCTGACACAGTTTCCGTGCACCAAGGCGTTGTGGATCAACGGTGAATGCCTGGATCAAGCGGAATCCTGTCATATCAGGACAGTTTCTGCTGAACCAAGGAGTGGTCCTTACTGACAGATTTTACTTTACCTGCATCATTGCTATAACAGTGGAGACACGGGCATGCGTTAAAAAATGTTTTTACTGCGTTAACAGAAGTATATCTCCGACAAACAATCAACCTCCGTATTGCTAGCTGTTTCAATCATGCTAGGTGTCATCCACGGCACTTAGTGTAAGCAACGTAAATATAGCACGCAACATGTTCTCTGTATACCTGTTGGGAATTCGAATATCGCAGGTTTTTTTTCTTTACTTGAATGTTCTACAAATCACAACATACCAAACAAAGTCCGACTTGTGTGATTTACAACTTAAATTGCTGCATCACACCTCGATGATGCTTTCCGTCATGACTCTCATTCCCATTTTATAGATGTGGATGAATGTAATTCCACCCGCCAAAGTGGTTACCTTTGTCCATCGAACAAAACATGTGTCAACATGATTGGGACTTACGGTTGCTGCAGTAGAGATGGAGATCGTGAAGACCGTGATAACTCGCCTATTGTCCCGGATAACCGACATTACCGTCCGTGTACTTCGCAGACCACTGCATCCATCACAGAAACAAGACCTTTAAGCAAAGCTCGGACAATCGGTAAGAATGACACACATGGGACCACTGCTGTCATCCCAGAAACAAGACCTACATCCAGAGCTCGGACTACCGGTAAGAATGACTTGCATGTAACTAACACGATTGCGATGAGAACTGTGGACACCATTGCGTTCTGGCACCAGCATAACATTTTTTTGGGAGATGAATGCATTTTGTTTTGCATTTACATTTAATAATTATAATCACTGTTTGTCAAGGATTCTAATAAAAGATGGAGCACATTCTCAGCTGGGATACCAGTACATGTAGTAAAATAATAATGGGCCTGTACGTACATGCAAAATTGATTATGTATTAAAAGTTTGTTTAAAACGACAAACTAGTCTTAAACGTACACCATGATCCTCCATTTATTCAATCAATCAATACCTTTTATTGAAACAAAGAAAAATGGTGGCACCCATGCGGCGGTACAGAGGATGGCCCACGCCTGGTATAAAGTAACCGTAAAAGAAAAGAAAAAAGTACTTTGAAGTATTACAGTGAAATAAGGCTCAAAATCACAGACAGCAAACGTTGTCGCCGTTGCAAACAAAGAGAGAGAAGAAGGAAAAGAAAAGAAAAGAAAGAAAAAGAGGTAAGCAACTGCATGTACATCCGCAGTACTTGAGTCGTATGCTTACAATGAACACTCAGCAGCCACCAGAACAGCCAAGTGAACTGGAAGTGGCACTGAAGAGCGCTGGTAGGAGCGCCGACTAGCAGCCATGGCTCTCACTAGGCTGAAGGACAGTTTAGTCCAGACGAAAGCCATGGTGACAGAAAAAAGCTCGTTGCGCTTGTCGCTCAGTTTGCTGGCAATCCTGGCAAACAGCGCAGATGAGGCTTTTCCCTGCCCACCAGTGGTGGAGAAGACAACGGGCACAAAATGGAGGAGTGCTCTACCTCAAGAACTCGCCGCTCATCTTTCCTCCGCTTCTCCTGCTGCTGCTTTCTGTAGAGATAGCTGCCTTACTACAGCGTGCGTAATGCTTAATGCACTTAATTCCCGTAGCTAGCCAAAAGACGTCACTTCAGTAACGGCTGGCGCTAGCCAAGATCCACACAGCTTTAATTCCGTGTTTGGCGGTTTGTTTGTGCCATCGGCATGTCTGGCGCTATTCCGTACCTGCCCTGTACCATGCCATCAAGGACAGTATGTGTGTCGAATGGTTTCGGATTTTAGAGCTGTCGGATTTGTACTGAGTTCTGGGGTGGATTCTCGTGCTGCGCACCTCAAGCTTCAGCTTGGACAGCAAACGCCATGCAGGGAGGCCCTCCGTGTTGCCGGTGCAACGGCAATGGTTCCTGTTTTGGCAGTGTATGTGTAAGGAGTGTACGTAATTGCCTGAATTGCTGCCCTGCTCAGAAAAATCGATGCCCAAACAATCCTTCTCCAGCCGAGCCTCCCGCGCCACCACGGCCTGCCTTGCGCAGCCCCGTACTCGTAGATGTTCAAGCGGTACGTCAGGTTCCCAGATCACCTGGGCCTGGGACACTGTCCCCGCGCCTGCCGAGGAGAACAGATGAAGGTACGAGTCGTACTGTAGTTTCGAACTCCCAACAACATGCATGGGCAATGCTTGAGGATAGTTGTAGTAGTAGTACCACATGTAGTGTGCCGACGATCGCACGGAGCCAGACAGTGAGGGCAGCCACAGCCCCTGCGGTGCTCGACGCTGTCCCGTCAGCGCCCAGCGTCACCAGCTCGCAACAGCTAGCGTGGGACTTGCTAGAATCCGAGGCTGCCAAACCTGGAACGGGTCGAAACCAGAGTTCCTGTGGTCCCAGCAAGGATCATGAGGCTGAACACCTCACGGACGCACTACTAGCAGAGTTCCGCGCAGCAGTATAATTATGTAAGTGCACCTTCTAGCAGCTTGCAGCTTGGATTGCTATCTGACGATGAAGATGACCGACAAGAAGCGCAACTCTTAGCTTCCATTGACTCCAGCCAGTCTCTTGCATCTCTACCGGGACAGCCTGGCAACCAGGCTAACCATGACACTGATGAACGCACCTCCCAACCTATCATCACGGATATACCTGCATACACCAAGTGGCCTCAAACTAATTTCACCCTTGGAACCATGACCGCGGAAGACTATGCGATTGCCATTGGAAACAGAGAAGCGGTTCACTTTCCACCGAGCGCCTTTGACGTACCCAGTGGCTCCCTCAGAAGGGAATTTGTTATGCTTCTCAGCCAATACCTCCTTGTGTTTGGCATTGGCTCCACTTTCCGCTGTCAGGGAGTCAGCAGTGCGTGAAAAAAAGGATTTTCCCAGCTTCATGACAGGCGGCACGTGCCAGGACCGGCGCGGCGCGAAGTTACGGCAAGGTAAGCTTCTACTCGAAAAAAAATTGAACAGTTCCGAGCTAGATTCAGTGAAAATGGCTACAGGAGACCGATTTCGTCTCAGATCTGGAGCTGGACTCGCGTTTGGGGCGCGTTGTGGCGGACAATGAAAAGTGCTCTTGGCGAGTTTGGGCGCATTGTATTTCTCTCATCAAGAGCTTTCCAACGAGCCCAAGATCTTCAAAATCGGTGTAGTAGAACCAAAGTTATGTTGGAAATGGAGTGCGCATTTCGTGACTGGCACAAATTCTGCGGAAGCAAAAAAGTTACGGACTCCTTAGGGTTTAGGTAGCGATACTCATCCAGCTGCTGCTACTCCAATAAACCTTCTCCATGCCCCGCCATCAGCCTTTGCGAAGTGCCTCAAATGCCGTCTTGAACTCTGGCGAGCAGGTGCCATCTCCGATTTATTAGCAGAAAGCCGTACCATACACAACCAGATCGAATCCCATCAGCGGCGACAGGACAAAGCTTGCGCTGGGCATGATGACACTATCAGAAACTATGCATCCCTGATAACTGGTGGGAAACTCAGCTCTGCCCTCGCACAACTGGAAGAGGACAACGGAGTCGGTGTTTCGAACCTGGATGATAGAGTCGATGGCGTAACTGTTCGGGATATTCTTGCTGCCAAGCACCCGCCGGCGGAACCCACCCATCCGGATGCTATTGTTCAAGGGGTTTTACCTCCACGACCACATCCGGTCTGATTTTGATACATTAACTGTAGATGTCGGCCGCCGCGTTGCCCTAAATACACATGGAGCAGCGGGCCCGTCGGGAGTGGACGCTGACACCTGGAGGCAACAACATTCGTCGATCCAGCGTTACTGGTGGCATACCTTAATTGCCGGCTTATACCTTTGGATAAGAACCCCGGGGTGCGGCCAAATGGCATTGGTGAAGTTCTCCGTCGTATACTTGCCAAAGCCATCCTGTTTATGATACGGGACGATATACAAGAGGCTGCAGGCAGTCTGAAGGTCTGCGCTGGACATGAAAGTGGCATTGAGGTAGCCGTTCATGCCATGGCGACTGTTTTCGACGATGACGACACAGAGGCGTTGTTAATGGCGGACGCTTCCAATGAGTTTAACTGCAAAGCATGTCTTCACAACATCCAGCATCCCGGCTATGTCTGCTATCGTTATCAACATGTACCGACACCCTGACAACCTAATAGTCGGCGGAGAGGTGCTACAGTCATGTGAAGGTACAACGCAGGGAGACCCTATTACGATGCCACTCTATGCTCTCGGTGTCCTACCCTTGCTGCGGTTTGTGGCAACTGAGGGGATCGTGCAGGCTTGGTTTGCTGATGATTCAAGTGCTAGTGGAAAGTTAGTGAAGGTACGGGCTTGGTTGGATGCACTGACCACCAAAGGTTCCTTGTACGGATACCACCTGAACCCGAGTAGATCTGTCCTCCTCGTCAAACCGGCAGTCCTCGGGCTGGCGCAGGAGCTATTCAGGGACACTGTGGTGACCATTCGTGTGGATGGATGTCGCTACCTAGGTGTTTCAATTGGTACTGCTGAGTTCCTCCAATCCTATGGCGAGGGCAAAGTCCAAACCTGGATAGGCCAGCAGGAGCGTCTATCCGTCATTGCGTTCTCTCCACCACAGGTGGCCTTCTCGGCATTCACCAGTGACTTAAAACACAAGTGGTCCTTTCTGTGCCACACAATGTCCAACGCTACTCCAAGCTTTGGGCCGCTGGGGAGTGCTATCCGGAGCAAACTGATCCCTGTGGTCACCGGACGTCAGATCAGTGCCACAGAACCGCAACTGACGGGATGCCTGCACGGTGGGCTTCCGTAGAACAAGAAACTGAGTGTTTGCCGGGTTCAATTTGAGTTCCCTTGAGTGCAGAAACTCGCTGACTGAGTGCAATTCCTTCTCAAGCTTTTCAATTGCCTGCAACATAGACATTTGTATCATCGACATAGAGTTGGCTGGCGGAGAAAGCCAAGCATGCTGGAAGAGCGCGTGCATGTATGACCTGGCGCGTGTACGTTGTCACCTCTGGCGTGGATATTATTGTTGGTCACGCTGAAACTTACCCGTCCTGATGAGGATCGAGCCGCATTTTCCCACTTCTGTCCATGCTCGGCAAAATGGGCTCTCTGTGAATAAGTCAGTCTGTTAACTGGGTTTTCGTTGAATTGGGTGACGGTGAAAAGTGCATTCTGTGAGACTGGCACTCTGTGAGGTGTCATTCTGTGAGTTGGGAATCAGTGAAACGTCACACGGTGAAATTGGATTCTGTGAACCTTCTGTGAACCTACAGTCAGCGAGTGCAACAAAATGACGCCGAATGTCTCAGTACTCCTTGTCAGTTTTGTACCATTTTGTGGCACTAACTGACTGCATAAGATCTAATTTCGTTGGTGGACAGTTAGTAATAACTCGTAACAATTCGTCCTTCTTCTTTTCACAATAATTTAATTGGCTCACCATCTGAGTCAAACATAATTCGATAAATCTTGTTTTCTGCGAATTATTCAGCTGGCTGATTTGGGGATTTTGTTAGTAACGATCTTTCTAATGGTTAATGTTTGTTCTAGAGGAGGTCAAAGGGCACGAGTTACACAACTCTAACGTACTATTACTATTAGTACAGAACTGGAGAGCTAGAGCGGTCATTTTACAGCAACATTATCCGTTCGTAATGTAGTGTCCTGGATTACCGACTGTTTTTGCGAAACGAAAGTTTTAGTATTTTTAAACCCCACCAACCCACCTTTTCTGCAGGTAAAACGGAGTCAAACAACATATTGATTACAATTTTCGGCCCCCGGACGTAACTGGGTATGCTTTCTGTACATTCAATAACTAATTGAAAAAAATCCTTAAACCCACCCAACCCCAATCGAAAACATTTCGTTTTGAAAATACGCACTTTGAAACAACATTTGTTAGATTTTCGGCGATTTTTCAACGAACCCTCCAAAATTGGTGACAAGCTTAGCAAATTTTGTAAAGTCTCGTTTTCGTCGAATTTTTCTCCGGCCGATTGGGGGAAAGCCTACTTCGATAGCACAAATCGAGATTTGTTCGATATTATTTGCACTTCTGCAGAGCGTTGTTGCTAGTGAAATTCGAGTCGTTCAGGGAAGGAAATGCTTCTTGTTTGAAGTGAAAAGGGTTCTCAGTCCCAGATTCTTGTCATACTCGATAGAGGTGACCACACTGTAGTGTTGGCGTGCTGGAGTTCGGAGCGGTACCTGGTTTTGGAGATTGAGGAGGCGCTTTCCGTCGTAGGGAAGGAAATTGGAAATTTTGCAATGTGGCGAAGTGAAAATATTCAAATTTGTATATTTCCAGAAACCGTGGAACACATTTTACGAGACATGTCCTGGGTAGTAGTGGGGATAGTCCACTGTCCTGCAGTGCATGATTCAGGGAAATTGACGCCGTCAACGGTTTCAGCTATGGCCTTGAAATTTGGCCGTTTTAGGAAGGAATTTATTTATATTAGGAGGGGTGGGCCCTTGCTTTGCTGGATGTAGCCCTGGCTCTATGTCACATTGTTAAGACTACTCAGATGAGGAAATGTTGGCATTTTTAACTAAGTACACAACCTACTCGTCAGAAGGGGAGAAGACAACAGAGTATACAATTAATAAAACTTCAGGGAGAGTAGGGGCTGCAAAGCAAGCCTGTGCTGGGGACGCAAGTATGATGGCGGTTTGTTCTTAGCTCCATTGTGTACGCTGTACCACTGACCGGGGCTTGTTTTGGGAACCAAAATTCAGTCGTATATTGGGCCCGAGGTGGTCCCCAGTTTCCAAAGTTATTCAACGAGCCCGTTCGTATGGTAGTTATAGACCCCAAAGGAAACCTACTTGCAAAATATGAGCGAAGGCGGATAGATGGCCCAGCCCGGCTGTTCTGGTTTTCTCAGATATGCTCTCTAAAATAAAATAAACGCGCGGTGAAGAAAAGGAAGGGCACGACGATTGAGGCGATTCAGTGTGTGGATGAAATGCACACCTCTTCATTTGCACTTGATTGAACTTTGTACTCCCGGAACGCTGGTAGTTGTTGCATTTCAGCTTCCCAAGATCACTGCTGCTCCGTTTCCGGTGCGGTGAACAACTCTTCAACTCCAAACAACAACGTGCATCCTTTCACGTTCTTTCCAGTTATTGGCTGTTCCAGCCCTGCGCAGTAAACTGGTAACTTGTGGCCAAGCACAAGGGGAAATTTTTTATGCGGCTCTTCAGCATTTGTGCCCTGTAGTTCTGACCTTATTCCCTCACCTCCACCGATATATTCACCTGGGTTATTCTAGTTTTGGCGGCGGCCTTGGCGGCGTCGTTTCGGCACGTAGTGTAATTAGGAAGAAGTTACAACCTCATGTTCAGAGAATTCTCCCAGATTTGTAGAAGGGTTTCGAATATTGGATTACTCCTTGTTCAATTTGTGCATAGTTCACTACCTGTTTTCGCCATCATTGTTGACATTCTATGTGTGTATCGCTTAAACAATTGTGCACACAGTCATACCTTGACACAAGAACAACAAACCAATGGCGTCATGTGGCTGCGTGAACACTTTTTCTAGCATTACTAGGAGTCTTGTATCCACGCCGCGTGTTCATTTCAATCTGTGCACTGCAATTTTCTCCTGTCTTTGCTTTGCGTGTATATCCTCGAATCCGTCACCCAAACGCAACCAACTTTAACTCAAATGATAAATTAAAGGTGGATTCGTCTCCATTTCGACCTTCGCCATCTCTATCAGTCTTGTAGTGATCGTCTCTGTGCTCATCATCTCAATTCTGATAGCTCAGCTGAAGAGAAAATATACCAAAGCAGCCCACGTATGTATTCAAACTGGAGGTTTACAGAACACGGTGGGAACAGCTGGCAGTAACGCCCTATCCCTAACATGCAATGACGCCTATGGTACGACGACGTCTGGAGTTCGACAAGATCCTTCTCTGTACGATACTATACAGTAATCTCTATTCATCATTGCTCAGAAGCAGGACTGAGCTCTACATGGATCTACATGTGCACTGATAGCATAGTGACGTTTGGTGTACATTGTACATGTGCATGTGTATTGTAACTATGCTTGTAAATTTGAATATTTTTCCATACTTCAAAGTCCTTTTTGAATACTGTTCATACTTTACCACACTCATTGTCACGCTTCTATTCGCTTCCTTCTTGCGCATCTTCCTCGCACGGTGCTGTTGTTACCTCAATATGAGGTATTCCATTCCTTTCTCTATGCTATTCTAGAGCTTTGTTGCATTGAATTCTTTTAGGAGCATTCAGGTTTCACAAAATCCGGCATGTTTTCTCATCGTTTCGTAGATATCAACATTTTGAAACATGCATACAACACAACATAGATGTATGTCACTCTGAGCTTAGGCTCTTGTCGATGCCAATACTTTAATTAATTAAGCTAAGAGAACGAGTCTAGCTCTAAAAGACATGTTATATTTTGTGTGTAGCCAGGTTCGAAAGATGAAGCCAATACGTTTGTAACAGCCTGCATGACGCCCTCGTTTTTAATTATTGTTGTTATTCGATCTACTCCCCCTTTTATTTTGCAGTAGGCATACAAGATAATGTTAGTATACTTGTACATGTATTTGAGATATTAGCAGTCTGTGCATTTTTATAAAGGTAGTTCGCGGCTCCTTTCGTACTTTTTTAGCAGGTATTATTCACAAGAGGGTTTTCAGCATCGTGATTCTCCACGATATCTTGTGGTCTTCGGAGTACTATTGCTTCAAGGGCGTTTCATCGCTCTTGTATCTTGCTTGCTGTGCTCTTCTCGTTTTGGTTGAATCTAGCCCTACCCATAAATGCTTCCCGTCCACACAAGCGCTCAACTGTACAAATGTTGAAGTTTCTACTTCACTTCAATCAGCTTTCCATGAGAAAAAAAGATGTTCTGGCACTCCTGTCGAGTACCATCGCAACAACGAATTCTGTGTGTTGCACAAACACCTCGTCGCACCTTACAGTTTCCTTTAGGGTGAAGATCGACATGGTAAAGCCCGCAGAAAAGTTTCTGAGGGAATCTTGAAAATTGGCATACCCCTCTATATGGTCGAACACTTACATGATTCATGGGACTACAAACGAGCCACACCACAGCGTACAAGAACAAAGTAACGAACAAAACTCAATCAAGGCAACATTATCTCACTTTAGAAGAGTTCTCGCTTAGCCATGCCAGCATTCCAAAAGACGAAGACCATCATTCCTTGACGCCACAAATGATCGTCTTGAAAATAGCCAAAATACAAGCGCTGAAGAAAAGCGAGCTACGTCCTCATTAAGCAAACACTATACACCGGCAGATAGTAGAACACCTCTTCTAGCACTGAGGACATCTGCCCCCTCATCCTTTTTCGTTTTTCTTGAAATAATGGTTTTATTAATTTTTCCACTCAAACATGCTGAAATACGTCCAAACTCACACCTGCGCAGGAAAGCTCGCCCCTCCGCGACGTCTAGTCGAATTTTCGACTTCAAAACCACTCCCAACGCTGCAGAACAAAGTGTATACTATTTGCTAATTGAGGATGTACTTCGCTGTTTTATAAGCGCTTGTCATTTGGCTATTCTCAAGACGATCATTTGTGGCGTCAAGGGATGATGGCCCTCGTCTTATGGGATGTTGGCGTGGCTAAGTGGTGCTACCCCAAAAACTCTTCGAAGGTGAGGTAATCTTGCCTTGATGGTTCGTATCTTGTTCATGTACGCTGTGCCGTGGCTCGTTTGTAGACCTATAAATCGTTTGTAGACCTATAAACCAATATTGAGGGGCATACCAATTTCATGGCCCCCTTCTTTTTGCGCGGGCTTGGGAATGTCAATCTACACCCCAAAGCAAACCTATCTGCAAAATTCGAGCGAAATCTGAGAGATCGACTTGCACGAATGTTCTGGTTTTCTAAGACATGCTCTCTTACTGTACTGTGTAGAACGTTTCACACAGGTTTCACAGCTGAGCACAGGAATGGTGCAAAGACCCTCGCACATAGGTCCTCTTTCTTTAACGTTAAAACATACATGTGTAGCCCCTCTTCACCTCTACTAGATTACATGCATGTACATTGTAACATCAACAGTCAGTTGACTAGCACTACACCGACCTGCGCTGCACCTCTTGAGCATAAACGCATGCCTGACCTTAGGCTGCAACCACACTACGTACAAAATCACGTACAAACTGCATTACAGTAGAAATCGTCATGCCGACGCGTGCGAAATGCAAAATGCGCTTTGTAGGTTTTCAGCAACTGGCGCACCCCTGTAGAAAGCCACGTTTGTCGTTTTCGTCGTTTTCGCGCTCCATCTCCTGTGTACAACTTTGTTTTTGTACCTGGTCGTCGTACATAACATCAGCATCTGCATTGTTTTTGAATTTCCCGGTCTTTTCCAGCACATGGCACACACTTTGGTACCACAACGTCACGTGCTGTTCGCGTGAAAACGTCAACTATGCAGACCGAAAAGTGTAGTGTGGTTGCGTACCGTCTTGTACTGAGATATGCATGAAAATTTGTACTGTGATTTTTACGTAGTGTGGTTGCGGCCTTAGGCCCTATTCACACACGGTACAAAACCGCATACAAGCATCATGTTCTTTGAAGTGGGCATGGAAACATGCGCGAAAAGTGAAAAATCACGTCAACGTTCAAAGCCATCCCGGAGCGGCTGTGAAGGCGGCTTTGAAAGCGGATTTCGGCTTTTAGTTTTCAGGCAAGTCGAAACGGGTGGTTTGGTGTGTCGAGTGCGCAGAGTTTTTGTTAGTTTTTGGAGAGTCCGGTAGTACGCAGCCTCGAGTTGTCTTTTCTGCCGAGGGGGAGCTACGGCTGATAGAACTATGGGGAAAATACAAGCGAGAAAAGTGAAACTATGATGAAAAGAGATGTTACCGAGAAGAGGATTGCAGATGAGCTGAATCTGTGCGGAAAGCAGCTACCCGGAGTGATCAGGAAATGATATACACGGCCAACCCACGGCCGCTGTCGTTCACAACTCCAGCACACTCAGAGGAATACACCAGTTGTGGAGGCGTTGAGGTTCCACCGAGATTACACTAGTAGTAGTATTGACATATCCGCGGCAAGCCGCTTATGTACAACGGCAGGGGAGAGAAATAGAGGTTGCGACTTCGGCGATGATTTTGTTTAGGAATGGGTTTGCTCCCACACTGGAGAGGATAACAAAAAATGAAAAAATGAAAATATAATTAATGTTGGGGAAATCCACGCTATTATCGAATATTCAACAATGACGGGTGTGGGGTTATACCAAATTCCCATAATGTGGAAGTACGTTATTATTGTTGAAAGCACTAGGTGATCTGCACTCTACAATGTGACCTGTGCGATTATATCGTTGAATGATTGCCTGTTCCGAGCCACCAAATGCAGTGTCTCCAGGTCCTTCAGACTCCGGAGACGCATGGACGTTGCCTTAGCTAATTCGTTGTCTATCACCACTGGTAGGGTGATGCGCGGGCGTCCGAGCCAGCCCCGATTCTGTCGCTGGAAATACGCTGTCATGCTCACCTGCGCTGGAGTTGCTTCAGGGAGGCGTAGAATATGACCAAACAGTTTCCACCGTGCTCTTCTGCTTAGTACGGATATTGGCTCGGCATTGCAGCGGGCATATAGGTCTGTGTTGGAGATAATTTCCGGGTAAGATATCCCTAATAGACGGCGGAGCTGCTTTCTGTGGAACGCATCCATTGCTGTAGCATCCCGGGATGAAAGCACCCACACGCCGCAGTTGTAGGTCAAAATAGATAGCACAAATGCATCAAACAACCTCAGGCGGGTTGCTTCAGAGATAACTTGTCTCCGCAACCACAGGTTGACAAGTGTGTTGAAGGCAGCTGCGGCTTGCTGGCGCCGGCGCTTGAGGTCTTCTGTGACTCCGTACAGTGAACCAAGCAACCGGGTGGACCTCCATCGTTCCTCACCTCTTCTTGCAACATCCTCTTCTTGGTATAGATGGGTCCACTCGGTCTTGGTAGGGTTGATGTTGAGGTTCCACTCTTTGAACACTACCTCTGCCTCTGTTAGTGCGCACGCTAGATGTTGACGGTCCGTGGAGTACAGGTTAACGTCGTCCATGTATGCTGTTTCGCAAGGTATGGACATATCGACAGTCGTGTAGGCTGTCCCTCCAATATTCAGTATGGCAGGTCTTGGCGATATCCTGGGACGCAGGCAACGCATTGTCGCTTCGAGATAACAGGTGAATAGCACCGGCGACAAACTATCTCCTTGTGGGATGCCTATTGATGTTGGAAATTCTGCCGAGAGCGCATTCTTTATCTTCACTCTTAGCCTTGTGTTGTGCAACAACATCTCCACCATTCGTACCTCATCTGTGTTAACTATTTGTTTCATTACCTCCACCAATCTTCCCCGCTGCACTGTGTCGAACGCCTTGCTCATATCCATTCCGAGGACCGTACATTGCCACTTGAAACGTTCAGCCTTGGCTGCCAGCCACCGGCCACACCAGACAATATCCGCGGTACTCCGACCCGGACGGGAAGCGCTCTGGGTTGGAGATAGGTAGGAGTCAATCTTTGGCATAATCCTGCGAAGTGTGATTGTTGACAGGCATTTGCGTATAGAGTTCAAGAGTATTATTGGCCTGATACTGGTTAACGGCCCTCTGGGTTTCCCTGGTTTCGGGAGCGGGATTAGTGTTCCACATCCAAGATCCATTCCACTGCCATCCGCAAAACATTGGTTTAGAATGGCAGCGATCTCATGTGCGACCCTCTCACCAGCATGCTTGATCAGGTCTCCGGGGATGCCATCCGGCCCAGCTGCCCTCTGCGATTTCAGTAATCTAATTGCCAGGGCAACCTCCGCAGCGCTGATCCTTTCTTCAAGATACTTCGAGCCCAGCGGTCTCAGAATATCATTTACTGCGGATGGATCCCGAAACTGCTGCCTGAAGTGGTCAGCTACCTTCTCTGCCGCTTCTTTATCGTTGGCGATTATCCGTCCAAGAGCGTCATGAACAACCAATGGCGCGGGAGACTGCCGCCGCAGCAAAGAGGCTGCTTGGAAGACCCTTGCATTGTTTTTCAGCTTCTCTACTTCTTGAGCGAAGGAGTCCAGGCGGGCTTCAGAGTTGTTCCGGGCGATATCTCGTATCTGGTGTAATATCTGATTCCGATCGCGTTTCAGTGATTTCCTCCCGTCTGGGCATTTTGTCGAGTCGATTTTTACCCGCAGTTCTTTTTGTTGGGCTGATAGAAGGGCTATGCCAGGATCATGGGCTTTTCGGCTACATTCGGCTCTCTTTTTATATCCAACTGTTTTTGTTGCAGCCGACTCCAGTGCATCCCTCACACCTCCGAAACGTGCCTCAGCTGATTATACTAGCGATTATACTAGCGGACCAAGAAATAGACCAAATAGACCAAGAAATAGTACAATATTTTTGAAATGTTTAGCCGTACCGGTAACGGTGCGCCCAGCTCATGCAGAAATCCAAATTCCGGCTCTTCGCTATGGCCCATAAAGTATGGGAGTATGGGTCACGCGGGTCACTTTTTACATGTTTGTCATGCACTGCATTTGACTGTGTGAATGCACAGGCGTTGCAAGTGGCTTGTACGGTCATGTAAACGCGAATTTTTGTACCGCGGCGTGTGTGAATGTACATACCACGCACTGCATGCACAGCATACTTGTACACGTTCCTCTATCACACATTGTTTTGTAATTAATGCATTCCGAGAGTGCGCTTTCTCTGTCCCTCCGAACAGCTGTCAACACCTTTATTTGCCCGGCATTTTCCTTTGGCACAGCACTCATAACAACTACTGATTCCTGGTGTTCCAGCAATGCCTTAGGAAGTGTGCACGACTACAATAGTACATGCACACGCCTACTCTTCTCTCGAATTCTACAACATTTACTATTGTATTCCACCTAGAACATTGACAAACATGCTTTTCTTCATCTAACAAAAGCCTCTATTCTCTCTTCGTTCAGAATCCCACAATGTAATCGCAACAGTCTGTAGTTTGACGTTATTTGTTGGTCACCCAGAGCCGTTGCACAGACTGCACTTGTTCTGGTATCTGCTTTATTTCACATGTACAAGATCACGCTCACATTGCACTGGTTTGAAACCTACATGTGAAGTGCTGCTTCTGTTTGCTTGTACATGGGTGGGGAAGCATGCATGTGTAATACTGCAGTAATAGTCTGTGCTTGTGTCCATGCATATCAGAAATGGTACTGGATAACCAATCAATAGTCAGTCGATAGCATTGAATATAGTCGATAGAATTGAATATGGTCGATAGCATTGAATACTATACGAAAGTAGTCGATACGTTTTAGGGTCAGTTGTTTCACCCCTAAGTGCCCGCTTCTGTGAGTTCCCTCTCGGGACCGGACACGAAAATTTACTCACTTACTTCAAGTGCATTGCTGTGATTTACACCTTAACTTTGTGGGCCTATGAAGGACTCAGTGGCCAATCAAGGCCCCGAGATCAATCACGGTCCCCGTGACCAGTCAAACTTTCACAAAATCCCCAGGACCAGTCACAAATTAGTTGACCGATCACAATGCCCCATGGACAGTCAAAAATCACCATACATGTGCAAGTGTGTAGGGCACACAGTTCGTGACTGTTCATGAAGAACTTCGTACTGCAGGATTTGTTGTGGAAACTATCATTCCCTATGAGCGGTCACGGGTAGAATACAGTTGTGATTCCATGCGAACAGTCACATGCGACATGTAGTTGTTACCAATATTTCCCTGTGAGTAGTCACAGGCAGAATGAAGGTAGTTCTGTATTATTCAAGCACATTTCTTTTCAAACAATCCTAAAGCCAAGAAGTGATGCGCAGACGGAATAACCGTACTCTTGGTGATACTGTGCCTACTCCTCCCCAGTTTTTGGTGCACTGAAGTGTCGCTGAAACCGAGACCTCAGGCCAGCGGAGATGCTCCGGTTTCACCACCACAGTTGCGTCTGCAACCACCTCTATCATGCAGTATTCTGTTCTCGAGGCTCGTGGTTTCTCGTAAAAAGAAAAAAAAGAAAAAAATTAGTAAACTGATCGCAATCATGATTAGTTCCTCCAGGCCATTAAGTACCCAATTCTAAACCTTATCTAAACAAAGTTCTTGTCAAAGCAGTATGCCAGTTCAAGAACATCTAGTCAGCTATCCATATCGATTTACACTTCTTGTGGGCTCTCGCCAATAAGCAGGCATAGCAGGCTACATTTGCACCAGGAATCACAAGAAGTTATAGTGAGTGAATATTTCCATAAAATATATAAGTAGAAGAAAAATACGTAATGGACAAATTGCAAATAGTATAATACACCTTATACCGGAGGGTGTACCCAGAGTGTTGACAGTGCTCAACACCTCGGAGGCAGACCGTATTACAGAACAGAATAACAAGGACAATCAAGGCTTGTTTGCTTCCACTTAGATACTTGTTCTCGTGTCGGCATTTGGACATCATTTCCAAGCGTTTGTTGAGGCTGGATTGTGACCCTAGCGTGTTCAGGATGTGGAACTTTTCTCTGGTACAGAGGGAACACCGCTTTGTGTTGTTGGAGTATGCTCAGGCGCGATCTTTTATCCTCCATTCGACTTCGTACGGGGTGTTGAATTTCTTCAGTTTCCAGATGTAGTTCGAGAATTCAGTGCTGCTAGAGTACTTTACCGTGCCGAAAACCCAACGACACCCCACTGTATGTCAACGTACACTCCAATCACCCACCGCAAGTCCTTAAGAACATCCCAGCTGGCATCAACAATCGACTGGCAAGCATCTCCTGCTCAGAAGCGGTTTTCCGTGACGCAACTCCCATCAACGCCAGCGGCCACCCTGGCACGCTAGTGTTCGAACAGAAAACAAGGAAAAAAAAAAGAGGAAGATATAATTATATGTACATGTACACTGCGCTAATATCACACTCACGCTAGCTGTATACTATAGCCTCCTGCCTACAACATCCACACACATTGCTCACCACCTCCTGCGCACACCATCCGCACATTCTGCCCTAACATTGCACTGCTAGCCCCTGCCTTCAACAACCACACACTCTGCACACAGCTTCCTGCCTAAGATAACACCGCGAGCCCCAACCTTCTCCTGGCATATGTACTGGCGTGGTCGGCACCCAACCTTAATGTTGCCTGATGATTGCGTGAGCATGAAACTTCAAGACGCAGCAAACAAGCCCTGATTGTCCTTGTTGTTCTGTTCTGTAATACACGTTATAGATAACGGTGTACCATAATGTTACATCAACACATTTTACAGAGTTATACTGGGTGTAGGAATGAATAGAAGATGTGTTCAAAGCAATAAACTGTGCAAGCATTACGTTGAACCCCAATATTGAAATGCAGTTTCCTGCAGTCAAAACAAGAGACTCAATCTTCTCCGGTCTACATCGCCATTCTCATGGCTAACACGACTTGATTTACTTTCTTACGATGGCGTTTGAAATGGATCGATGAAGTCTTGGATAGATGTCTTCCCTGAACGATTTCAACTGAGAGGAAGTTTCAGTTTCAACAAGCTGGACATTGTTTTTTTCTGTTGAGTCCTCCACTAGAAAGACAGAGCAACGCAAACGAAGGTGCCTGATGTCTCCGGACATTCCTGGCGATGAACATATTTTCATTGCCATCTTTTTTTACATTTTCGTCTCTGCATGGTCAACGGTGTTCATTTCTCGATCCACAAAGCAAGTGCTGCTGGTATGTTGGATCATTTGAAAGCAGTCTCCGTTCTAAGAAGATTGGCATGAAAAAATACTTGACTGACAATATTCTGAAATAGCTTTTCTGAACGACGAAGTTTTTTCTTCAAAGGTGATGAATAGCACGATCTACTAGACAGAACGTCCCATCAAAAGAGATTCTATCTGAAGCCACTAAGATCTTCGACCGCCCTTTGTTTTGGAGAGGAGCCCACACACACCTGACTCGAGCTACAAGTTGACTACGTGGAGATCGAGAGTTCTTGCTAGCTTCTGAACCATGTGAAGGAAAACAGTTTGTTGATCCCATGAATGCCTCCAGTTGAGTCATAATAATTTTATTCTGACGTGGATCCTGTGACCATTCACAGACAAAGTCGCGGCTGTTTGTGACTGGTCATCGGGATTCAAACTGGTGTGGCACTTTATGACTGGTCTTCGGGGATTTGTGACTGTTTCATTGGTGACGGGGATGGTGACGTGGCTGCTCACTGAGTCCTACATCGATAAACCAAAAAAAAACAGATATGTCTTATTACTGTTGTCTGATTATGGCCTGATCAAAAGGGGTAAGTAGCAGCATTCGGCCTTGTCCAGAGTCTTATCAACCACCACACCACACCGCTGCGCTCTCTGGCCGACCTTAACACGTTGCCACAGCTCACCATCAGCAGAACGACACTTCAGTTATTACTCTGCTCCTTCAGACAACAGCTGTTCTCGCTTACACCCTTTAAATTGCTAGTATCCTCAGTGTAGTCTATCTGTATTGCCTTTGCTTAGCCCTAATCTTCGCGCCTAGGATGCGCAAGTATGTTTTCCGCCCTTTTTGCCCCTAAGATGCACCATTATGTTTCCCCCTTTTTTGCTACAAAAGGGTGAAATTCACTATCTGTTACCCATTCTACATTATAAACCTTCACTGATGAGATCCTGATGATCGAAACAGCTGCTGTCTGAAGGAGCAGTGTACCAACTGAAGTGTCGTTTTGCTGATGGTGTGCTCTGGCAACGTGTTGAGGTCGGTCGGAGAGCGCAGCGGTGTGGTGTGGTGTTTGATGATCGTCTAGTGTGTAAAACTCAGAGTAACACCTAGTTATTTATCCTCTAGGTCTTGAAACATCAAATCGCAAGACAGAAGTGCGCCAAGTGTGCCTCACGTGGCTAGGGCTTCCAAAACATGCGCAAATCAACGCTGCCACGCCAAATGACTCGAGGAGGAATGCTGCTAGACCCACATGAGATACTCCTAGCGGCTAGTACACTCGTACATTTTAGCCAACAATCACAGGGAAGCGTGTCGCAATGCGAGTGGTGAGCCGAAAGATGCCAGCCCTGCGGATTGTAAACAGATGGTGCTTTCTGCTACTTGGGCCTCTTCAAGCTACTGGTGTTGCCTCAGTTCTTGGACTAGGGATTAGTGTTTTAGACACATTTGTAGCAATATATTGGTCCCCTGCCGTCCTAGCATTGCGCTGCATGACGAAGTCTTGATATGTTCAGTTTACTTTGTTGGACGGTAGCAATAATATTACATAAAATAGTTCAGGGTGAGTGTCGCAGGCTTTACCCTATCTGTGGATTGGATGGAGATCGATACCAAAGAGACCATCGAGAGTAACATGATCGCCAGGGTTCTTCACGGCACCAGCGCCCTGCTAATCGCTATCAGTAAGTCATGTATGTAGTTCTGGATGACAGTCTAGTCTTCTTTGGCTGCTAGGAAAGATAATAATTGTGAACGTTTGGATGTAGATTACTTGATCAGTGTATAGTGTGCCTCATTAACACAAGAGAAAGCAAAATAGCCCCAGAAAGATTTCTCTGAGTTCTCGGAGTCGCGCAAGATGATCCTCAGTGGAATTGAAAGAGCCAAATGACAAACAAAGGCAAGAAAGAAATTTCGACAGGCCCGTATCAACTAATATTCTGTTTGTCTGTAGCCTTAGACAGTGCTATGTTCATGTTTAAAGATCGTGCTGCTCACTCGCTACTTTTGCATTATTATTATGGCTACAGGTCTGTGTGGCTCTGGATCGCTTGGTGCCATATTGCGAAACTGCCAACCAGAAGATGGAAAAATACATGACTATGGCGACACTGTATATGTCCAGCCAGCGAATGATCCTACTACTATACATGTCAGGCCTGGTGGAAACCTCTACAAGAAGCCGTTCATCTTCACATCACCATGCGATGTATCATTCAAGGCTATTTCTCTTCTGTACTCGGGAACATGCTCTGTATCAGTGAGTTATGGAAGCGATGACAGAGTTCTTGATATGCTTCAATTTTCAGATCCAGATCCAGATCTGCTGACACGTACCTGGAATCGTAGAAACGTGAGCCTGACGAACGCTGCGTCCGAATCGCTTCACGGGTTCATGACAAGCAATAATACGAGCAGGTTCCTGATCACGATTTCCCCAGGGATATCTAATTATTGTCAATTATATAAAGTCGACCACAAAGGAGCAAGTGGACTGATCATCATTGGACAGGGTAAGCAATTGAATTATGGAATTCCCCAACCGTTTTTTACTCAGAACTGCTCAAGAATATTCTTGAAAATTCTTATGTCTTGAGAAGCGCTCTGTCATCTGTGTAAGTGTCGGACACCTCGGTTGCAGACACGGACTGCTGGTTACGGCGAGACCGGCACACTCGCTCGTAGTGGCCACGTTTTCCGCATTGACGGCACTCATTGTCCTTAGCAGGGCAGGTGCTCCGCGCGTGAGATGTGCCCCCACAAAATCCACACATCTTGGTGCCTGCGCCGCGACTGGCAAACTGAGGTGGTCGATCCCCTGACCGTCGTCCCGCCGCGTGTTGGCCAGCCGACACCTGTGACAGAGCCAGAAACTCTTTTTCTCCCGCCTGGGATAGACTCACTGAAGAAGTGCTCTCCAGGCACAAATATCACCAGGGATAAAAACTTACAGAGACACTCCATTTCCAGTGCGACAAACACCTCTTGAACACTAGATAGCAGCGTGAGTCAGTTATCGCTCCTGGACGGTCAGAACATACGTAGAGGACCGTCGGTCATTCACAACGCTGTTACCTCCAAACCAGCTAGTCGCGCTGGGCACAACAGTACGAAATAGAGGTTGCGATTTCGACGATGATTTTGTTTAGGAATGGGTTTGCTCCCACACTGGATCTCGCTTATAGAAATAACATAAGGAGGGAAGGTTATTTCTATAAAGCCTAGTTCACATTCGACGGGGCGCAACGGGACGCGACGTAAGGATCGACGGGAAGCGACGGGACGGTCTGACGGCGTCCAATGTGAACACCAGGGACGGGAACGCAACCGTACTACCATACGGATCGGGGAGCGACGGGAAGAGTTGGATCGATCCAACTTTTCACACCGTAGACGGGCGTAGACGGGGACGCAAGCGTACAAAACGGGAGAGATTTGAATGTGAACAGGCGACGGCGATGGTCGGCGTTGTACGCAAGGAGGACTTTGTTTTTTTGAAGAGCTTTTTGGCACCATCTTCCCCCGATAAAAGGGCGCTCTGATGAGAGTTCATCCTCTTTCTTTTCGAGATCTGCTGAGACTGTTGTGTTGATCTTCAGCTGCTGTGCCAACATGTCTTCAACGTCTAGTGCGTCTTCAGAAGTGTCCGACGTGGACTTTATGGAGAAGGTGAGATCGATTATTGCATGTTTCAGGGTTGGGGTCAGTCACTGGCTCTTGCACTTTGTCCTCAATGAACTTTTGACCCAAGACTATTCTATATGGATGAGAAGTACAAAATCAGAACGTACATGTACATCTATAATTGTGTACATGTACATCCATAATTATTATTATACATGCAAGCAAGCACTGTCTTCAATATGAACACCACCAATGTTGCAATCCAGAGCTAAGAGCCCCCAGCTCAGAACAATTGAAAGTTGCACCCAGATGTGAATTTTTTAATTTAATTGTGTACATGATTGTGTGTTTTGTCAGGTGAGAGAGTATCGGACCATTTATGACAAGTCAATGAGCAGTTATAAAAATGCTGCAAAAAAGAACAACGCATGGAAGGAAATCGCAGGTCACTTCGGAGTAAGCGCCGAAGGGGCCAAGAAGCGGTAAGTCCAATGTAAATCTAGCTATTATTGGCTGATTGCATGAGGATTACATGAGAAAACAATTTACATCATTAAATCACTTGCATTTTACTTTGCTTGCTTCTTGTGTATCTTAAATGGCGATTCTTTCATGGATGAAAATTGTACCCAAATTAAAAATTAATAAAATATGACTTCAACAGGTTTTTCGGTAAAACTGAACAAGTTCTAAACAAAACGTTACTCCCGTTGTGCAATGTTTCTACAGGTATGGCAACATCCGAACACGGTTCTCGAGATACCTGAAGTCAATGACTACCAAGTCGGGCCAGGGGAGGGATGCCGTACCACCCTTGTCGTCTGACCTGGAGCAGCTCAGATGGCTCCAAACATTTATCCGGCACCGCTTGACATCAACAAATTTTTGTGGCGCGGTGTCGGATGAAGGGAGTGCCTCGGAAGGGAACGAAGACACTCCCATCGATGTTGAGAAGGACGATGACGATTGTGCGATACTCGGTAAGTTCTGCCCTTTTTGTCGGTGTTCTTATCCATTAGCTGCATACATGTATGTGCATGGTGTGCATTATGGCATCTTTGGTCAAGAAATACTGATGCTACCACTCCTTGGTACTTGAGGTAATTGTCGTATTATGTGGACTGTTCTTTGTGTCTTTCAGATGTGACTTGCAAGGACGCGCCAACTCCGAAAAGAATTAAGACTGAACGGCCGTGGGGGAATCCAATCGGGAAACCCCCACGGCCAAACATCCAGAAGGCAATCGACAACATCGCCGAAGCGATCAAGACAGAGGAGAGGGAGGAAGATCCTGACAGGCTCTTCTGCTTGAGCCTTGTCTCTCACTTCAAGGATCTTCCTCCCCTTCGACGGAGTCTACTCCGAGCCAGGATTCTTAATGCCGTGGTGGAAGTGGAGTCGGCGCATCACCTCCAGCAGCGTCCGCCAGCATACCCATTGTGCAAGCCGCCAGCAATCCAGCCCCAACCAGTTATGCCACAGCAGCAACAGCCACCGCCACCACAGCAGCCGCTAAAGCAGTGGCAGCAACAATGACAGGCTCCGGCGTATCAGCAGTACAGTCCCCAATTTGACTCACCTGAACCCCAGCCACCCCAGCCACCGTCAACTTCCATTAACACCGATGACATCTCTAGCGTAACTGACGGATAGACAGTGGGACACAGAGCGTGTGAGCAAAAGAGAGAGAGTACGTGTGTTTGTTTTAACGTAGCGGAGGGAATGTGTGTTTGTTTTAACATAGAAGAGGGAGCGTGTGCGGAGTAAGGGAGATAGAGCATAATTATGTGTTTGTTTTGATGTAGCAGAGCGAGCGTGTGCAGAGGGAGTGAGAGCATGTGTGTTTGTTTTAACGTAGCGGAGGGAGCGTGTGCAGAGTGAATGAGAGAGAGAGAGCATGTGTGTTTGCTCTAACACAGTGGAGCGAGCGTGTGTGGAGTGAGTGAGAGAGAGAGAGTACGCAAAGTCTTGTTCAATTTTGTCCACTTTTTATTCAAACATTCTGTGATTTGGAATATCACACTAAACGATTGGAGGAGACCGCGAGTCTGGGATTGTATGAGCTTGTGTATGTGTGTGCATGTATGTACGTATGTATGTATGTATGCATGTACGTGTGTTAGTGATCCATAATATCGCAGTTTGAGTGTAGTAATACTTGCACTCGTTGATATGGAAACTAGACTAAAATACCAATGCACTGACCTAAAATTGGCAGCCCCATTCACGAAGATAATTGCTGTATCGTCATAGCATACTCGTAACTTTTGTGCACCTTTTAAAACGCCATCATTATTACTACTGATGGCAATTCTCACTATGAGATCTAGATATTTATGAGTAAAAATGTATGGTGTGTTTTTGTGCATGCATGTTTGCACAAATTGTGTTTATAAAGTATTCTTGGAACAGTGTTATTTCTAGTATCGGTAATGTACAATCATTTTATTATACTAGAAGTGAGCCAGATCAATTTCCTATACTCCCTGATGACTCCTTATATGAGAAAATTAGGATTCAGAAATTGCAGTTGAAGGCCATGGAGGTGGTGCTGATAATGTCACGACATAGAATATTCCAGCACAGCATTCTTTTTACATTTTTCCACCCACTCTTATAATGTATCATTATTTTGGCTTCATTGTTTTCACTTCTGTTGTTATGACATGAGGCAAGAGCTTGAGCTGCTGGGCTACAATAGACAGCTGTATTGAGTGCTTTGTATTCATTGTATTTATTTCCACAGTGAAAATAAAATGTTAATTCGATAGTAGATATGTCATGAGTGGAGAAGGAATACAGGACAAGTCAAGTGATAACTTTACATAGAAATTGGTACTTTGCTTTAAAGTTTAGCAGGATTTAGCATAAACAAACTGCAGCAAGCTAAGGCAGAGGACGAAATCATAAACTCAGACAGCATTTGCAAGGACATGGTATCATGGACAATATATTCAGGACTTAGATTTGCAAAGGAGTACAGTACATGCAGTTAGTGAAAGTCATACACATGTAGATGCTTTGGCAGCAGCAGACAACGGCGCAAGGCAACATCCATACCTAACTGGGTACAGTTCGTTCTCCGCAGCTTCTGACGTGCTTGAGCTGCCAGCCTACACTGCCATTGTCACTGTTGAAATATGTGCAGTAACTCTCGCGTACATCGGATGCTGAAACGGAGTAATTATTGGAGCACAGCTTGTCTAAGTCAGTGAATGACTTGTCGGTTGCTTCCGCTCTCCAAGTGCCCAGAACGAGATCATCGGATCGGTCGTAGGAATCAACGAATCCTTGTGGGGCGTACCTGGAGTAACAAAATGCTATAGGGATTCGAAGGGAAGAGGAACCAGTTTCCTTAACACATAGCAACATTGGAAAGTTCCAAATGGCCTTGAACTCATTGGCTATGGCCTCCCACTCGGCTGGCGTGCTGGGAGCAGCAACAAATTTTGGCCCAACTGCCTTCCATATAGCTTCACATGTCTCACGGACAATGTAACAAACGGTGCTCCTTCCCATGTAGAAATTGTACGATTGACTTTTCTGCGAATCCCCTGTTGCAAGATAGCGCAATGTTACTACCAGGCGTTCTGCCGCAGATATGGCCTTTCGCCGTATAGTGTTCCGATTGCGTTGTGGGAGTTGTTCCTCCACCAATCCCAACAAATGGTCAAACCGTTCAGGCGACATCCTGACATATCTGGAGAACATTAGCGCAAAGGAAAGAAACATTCTAACATTAATATATTTTGTAGAACTGTGGAAAAAACTGTAGAGCACACCAGGCCAAAGGACAAGGGTCAAAGTTTGACCCTAAAGTCAAAGTTTGACCCTACCATTCATATGACCTATGCTTGTGCACAGTTCTAGTGTCGTGCTGCTACAATTA